CGTACTGTGTCAACTGACGAAGATGCCAGCACGGCGCCCTGATCCACACTACACTATTGTGCATGTCATTCGGATGCTTAGTACATATGTGTGTTTGTAACTCAAGTTTGTCACCACAGCTTCGAATTTATTGTAACTCGCCGAGTTTGCACTGGCCTGACCTTTTGCTCGGCTGGCCTTGGCACATACAAAAAGATTTTGAATGCCGGTTCCCAGAGATGATACCTATGCACGGTGCTGCATGACCTTTCGTTTTTGCAGATGTAATAAGAACATACCAGGCAGAAAACATTTTTCTTTTAGGGCAGATACGCTGCCAATGTGCTCTCTTAATACATAAAATATCTCTCTCGTACTACAGAACCAAAATCTAACTTTCATACCGCATTATAATTATATAAATTTTTTGAGTATAAAACCTTCATTTCAGCTCATCGCATACCGCTCCATCGCGTTGTAGTTTCCATCGCGTTGTAGTTGTGTATCTCTGTGCTTTTGGTCACCTTCATTTGGCCACCTTCCGTTTGTCCGTTCAACCAATGCCTTGTCAATGACTGTAGTCAGCATAACCTGTCAAAAGGAAATTATAAATACGAGAGGATGTCAGCAGCGCATTTCAGCACTCCCTGTACTTGAGCTCGCTGGGGTATGACTTTGCGGCATTATATGTACAGAGTATATGGCTAAATACGCGTGGTACGTAAACACCTGGTACAGCCGCAACGTCATTCTCCAACCGGCTCACGGAAATCAAAATTTTGCTAACTATAGCTGGTTTATTTAGAAACCCGTTTTCCCAGCTATCACCGTAAAAAGGTCACACGGTCTGATTGCTAACCTGCGTTGCACGTGGTTCGTCCAGTGTTGAGTAAATTCCAGTGGAGAAGTGACAGCGCATAGTGACATTCTCCAGACTCAGCAAATTGACAAACCGCGCCAAACGATAGTAGCGCAAATCATCGGCGCACAGATGGACGTTCTGCAGTGTCACCATACATCCGTTAGCGTTCTTCTTGCCACAATCGAGAGATTGGTGCAGAACATCGGTCATCTCGTATTGAATATCGGAGCACGTAAAAAGCCAGCACATGGGCAGATCTTGTGGTTCCTCTTGCATCAGTTCTTCCCAGCGGTAGCATTCCCAGCGTTCTTCGGGGACTTCGGTTCCCGGTGGCCGGCGAAAGATGACGTTGCGGGTTTTCTTGGTTAGGAAGCGCCGGATCAGTCGCTTATGCCATGCGCCCTCCGCTACAGCCCAGTCGAACCGCGCTTCATTATCGTCTGGGCCATGCTGTGGACGGGGTGTCAGCGACAAGGGCAAGTACGTTTCCCATTTGTTTCAGATCAACGATTACCGTCTTCAGAAGATATACGGCGCGGTAGATGGATTTCCATCGGCAACAAACGCTGCAACAGGATGATAATAAATACATGAGAGTGATACATGATTCGCACATTTTATTAACTATCAGGTCTGTCAAAACGAAACCAAGGGTTTCTGAGTACAGATTGTACAACCACTTAGACTGCGCAATTGGTGCGATCAATAATGTCCAGGAAGGAAAAGATGTGCAATACCGACTCCTCAGGTAAATCGTGAAAGGTGCATGGCAGACTGGCGCAGCTGGCTTCCAGTGATCTTTCAGTCATTCTGAGGGGAGTTTAAAACGTTAGAAAAAACTCGGAAAATAAGAGAAAAGTCTGTTTTGTTTGATTGAAACTGCAAATGGGTAAAACAGTATGGATACCTAACCACAATAATATGCTCAAGGATGGTGAGAGAGAAGCGGTTATTTTTTAGCCTTTATCCCGGATCTAGGATGCATCCTTGTCACGTTGCTGCATTCTCTGACCGAACTCTTCAATCATTATATAACAATTGAGGTGAAATTTCAGCGGAGCTGTAAGCTCCGTGAAGATTGTAATTACAATTAAAATGCAGTAAAAATGTCCAATACAAACTGCAGATAATATGCCTACGCATTCGGTGGTCCACCCGCTAATGCGTTTGTTTTGTTTCCCCCGTTTCTGCACATATTTACTGCTCAGAATTACCGCATTCGGCTGCAAAGCGTTTGAATCCGGTCACAGTGCACATGCTCTAAAGTCTAAAGTTCCTTCAAACCAGTAAAAACTTTTAAAATAGAGTTTCCTCAACTCAATATATTCATGGATATTTATTCCCATGATATCTTCTTTCGCCATATCTCGATAAACAAATACGCTACATACAGGCTATCAAGAATTAACGATTCTACGGCATTTCGACCGTGACTTTTAGATGTATCGCTTTCGTTCCTGCACGTGCAACTGCCATGTGTGAAGACTCGAAGAGCAAATACCGCACCATGTTGGACATATGTCATTTTTTGTTCCTTCGGCATGCGAGTCTTTTGGCCCATGGTGTGAAGGTGCTATTGTTATGCTTAAAGAAATCGGGAAGAGGTTGTTTGTTCGAACCGGCGAGTCCCGATCCACTTCCTTTTTGTTTCAACGTTAAGTTGGTTTTGGTTTTGGCCACCAACAGGCCCACCATCTCCTCACGATTGAACCGGGATCACTTTTTTATTTGATTTGTTGATATTGTTTTCATGACGCTGTTCACTATACTCAAGCTTAATAAATATTATTCTTCTCTGATTTACTTACTTGGAATAGTGCATGTTGTTATGCGATGCGTGAAATCATTAGGTTGTTTATCCGCAAAGAATACTTAATCCAGTAAACTGAGAACGGAATAACATATGTTTTACCTTCACAGCAATGAAATCACTAACAGCCCAGATGCAGGTTAGGGCCATAGAGACCCATAATCCCACCCACAGCATTCCGAAGGCATGTGGCGCAGTCCGCTGTACGACTCAGCTAAAATATCCGGTTGTCGCACAAGTCCACTTGCCACATGCGTACGGATATCTGGATATGGGGTTATGCGTCTTTTTGGTCCTGAGCTGTACAATACTATAATAATTTTCCAGGACAATTTTTGTTGTAACTCCATAATTAAAGCAAGGTACAAGGGCGGACACACTACTTTAAAGTCAAAATTTAAACATTGCAAAAACAACAAAAATCTATCCTACTATGGATTAAAAGGTAACGTACTTGACATAGCCGTAGCATTTCCTTTAATATTTTAACAACCACCATATGCAGGATTTCCTGATCGTTGTGCACATTGAAAATTTGTTCATTCTCCAGCCTTTTAATAAAATGTCAGGTTAAACAAAAAAGAACGCTTGCACGCGACACAGAACACTATAAAGCATGGTACACTGCAATAAAAGAAAGCGTGGTGCAAGACACACTAAATTTAAGAAACTTCAAGAGGGTCAACCTCCGCTAATAATGGTCCCCTTTAGTCTGTGTAGCACCCATCCAGCAGGTGCAGGGCCAACCGACTCAGCATGGTCACATCGAAATTGCGCAAGTCCATTCCATCCCACCACGCTACCGTGTGCTCGGGACTGAAAGCGCCGAACCTATCAACAAGTATCACTTTGAACGAGACGCATATCAGTAATTCCCCGGAACTCAGTCAACTCACATTTTAAAAAAGTGGCGAATGGGGCTCCACTCATCCGGATACACCAAGGTTTCCTTCCAGCGCGCATGCACGGCCGTCACCTTAGCGTGAACGCGCAGCGGAACGACCGGGCAGTGGTCATTGAGGGTGGATAATAAGCGTCGACACTGTTCCGCGGCGTTGTCCGTCGTGCGAAAGTGCAGATAAGGAATGCTCACGACCAAGGGAGACTGATCGAACCTGCCGTTATGCATCGTACCCAGCCATGCGGCAGTGATATCGCGGAACAACCCTGCCAGTATCATCGGGGTGTTGGAGTTCAAATGGGACACGTTGTAATTAACCAACACTAGTTCGTTGCAGACTGCCCACAACTTCTGCAGCGTAGTGCACCGATAGCTGTTATCCTGATTACTGTTGCTTAGACCCAGAAACCCACTATTTGCCGTGCCATAATGATCAACACTTTCCTTGACGACTAGGAAGTGCAGACGAATGCCCTTTCGTTCCAATACTTCACCCAAGACCAACAGCTTTAATGACACGGAGCGCGTATTCCCTCCATTATCGAATAATGTCACCGTTCTGGTCTGTTGACCAATAGTACGATCCAGCATTGTCATGAATGTGTACTCGCATTTGTAGCTTTCAGTGTGAAATTCCCCGTTCTTGGGACTCCAAGCGTGCAGCGGACGGATATCGAGGACTATTTGACGATTACTGGCGTATTTCGGCGGAAGAAGCGCCCACAGCATGCAGACCCTGATCGAGAAACAGGCCAATACACTCTCTCGCTGTGTGTAAGATGAGAATTCAGCTTAAAGGAACTGAAACGGTACATGGTACGAAATTAACTGGTTTTCATGAACAAAATCTTTTGATTTCGCTCACTCCCAAACAAATTTTCTTTTATGGCACTGCGTAGCCAAATGATGTGTACAATGGCGTGAGAATCATTTGTGCGTGCAATATCCGATTGGAACGTTATGAAAGAATTAAAATTCAAAAATGCGGTTCAAACGCACGGAGGCGAACCAAAAGTCACATTAGGTACTAACAGATCGTAAAATTTTGCTTAAAGACGTAAATTAATATGAACCGTGATTTGGTATAGTTTGGTTTTACATGGTTAAACCGTGGGTTGGTATAAAAATGATTTCCACGCCAATGTGCGTTTTCATGCAAAATTCGAAAGAGATCGGTCTATAATAAGACTTTTGGTGCACGGCACACCTAAATACAATTAAACTTACTAGAATTCTCTGATAGCCGCAATTCCCCAACCGGATATTGCAAAACCGGTTGTCTTCATGGCCAGGCAAGCAGATCACTTGGCTACACATTGCCATAAGCCAATTCGAGAAAGTGGTTCTGAGGGTGAGTACGCAAAAGTTCTCGTGCATGCACACGAAGCCGGTGCCATGTAGGGTTGTCATTACGCATCGCACGCTATTGCAATGTGAGACCGGGATCACTAGCGTTCACGTCAGTGGCGCTACGCCTGTGGCGCTACGCCTTAGGATTACGTGTCTGTGTTGTGTCTCTTCTGATTGGCTTGAGTTGTGTTAGTGGGCGCGGCATAGCACGTGCTGCACAGTGTTACACACTGTTGAATGGGCTCCACGCTTTACGATCGAGCTGCGCCGATCATTATTGATTTTCTGTTCTCCAGACTTTTCAATATTAAAAAGTCAGCGATTTACGGTGCGACGTTTGTGTTTCCGCATAGCTCGCGATCCATATCGTATCGCTCGCTTCCACGGGATCTATTCCGTTTAGGTCTCCGTATCTGGATCACTGTTGGATCTACCATTAGATGGTAGCAGAGCCGACAGCGGTTCTCTGATTTGATTCGATTTGTGTCAGGCAAATTTGGCCTGTTATCTGACGTGTTATTTGTGACCAGTAAGGCACAGGTCTGTGTGACAGCAAAGCGCACACCACAAGCGGTGAAACTGCCTCATCGGACGTGGATCTCCAGCTTTGGTTTTCGGTACGGTATCTTCAGCGAAGAACCGTGCTGTTTCCTTAGCTGTGCAAGAGTTAAAGAGTTCAGTCGGCGGTGTTCCTCGGTGCGGAGTCTTCAGCGAAGACCTGCACTGGTGTCACCGTTACTCGGCAAGGCTTCAGCGAAGCCTAAGCCGTGGGCCACAAGCGGCGAAGCGCCAAAAGGGGCGCACGGGAAAAGACAGATCAGACTCCTCCAAACTGGAGTAGAGCGCCACTACTGTTGCTACGGCAGTCAGCCGGCACAGTAACCCACCAAAAGCGTGCGGCACAACCGTTACGGTAAAACCGGCGGCAGCGCGGGAACGGACAGTGGAAGAAGAATCTGGATCATCTGGATCGATTCTCGTGGAACGGACGAGGAAACAGGTAGAAAACCCGTTATTAATTACGGGATTGGTTAGATGGTAAAATTCTCATTTTTCATTGGTCCGTACTGAGCTGAGCGTAGAAGTAGGCGGAGTTTTGCACACGGCGCGCATGTCTGGCCGTTGACCGTGACGTCAGGCAGATAAAAATTTTAAACGGATTAACGTGATTGGTCAGTTATCTGAGCCGTGATTGGTCGAAATTCGAACTGAATAATTTGAGCTAGCGGACCAATAGGAACGAAGTAAACAACGTAAATGGGTATTTTCCGTTGAACTCGAACTGTAATGGGAAATTCGATCTGAGATGAGATAATTGAGACGGAAAGTGACCTTTTGAGTTTAGACAAAGGAAAAGTGACCTTTGATCGAATTGAGCTTAAAAGTGACCTTTAGCTTGAATTGAACGGGAAAATAACCTTTTAACAGAAATTGAGCTGAAAAGTAACCTTTTGAGTTGAATTGAGCCGGAAAGTGACCTTTGAGACCAGGACAGGACTTTTGACTTCGAAAAGTGACCTTTACCGAAAAGTTGGAATTGACCGGATTGACCTATTTAAGTGACCTTTACGATTCGAAATTGACAAACGGTGACCCTTACTGAAGTGAAATTGAACTGAATAGTAGTACAGCGATATCAACAGCTGTAGGATTTCATTTCCTAATGTGTTTCGAACTGTAAAAGCTGTTTCGAAGTTTTGTCCGAAAGTGACCTTTTAGGGCAAATCTCTCGAACTTTTTATCGAAAAAGTGACCTTTACACGGGACTTAGTCGAAATTTTTCAGTCGAAAAGTGACCTTTAATAAGGACTTAGAAAAATTTCGGAGGTACAGAGTGACCTTTAGGATCATTGAATAAACCATACAATAACGTGTGTGTGAGAACAATTGGCAGGAGCGTCCAAGTTATCCGATCAACATGGACAAAGACCAAGAGGAACCGACATCCAACAGCAGTCAGGGAAGCAAAAGCTCCCGAAGCTCACAGCAAGGTGCACCAAATCCGTACAAAAAAGATTTGTACCCGTACTCACCTCCAGTTGGACATGATCGGAACACTCGAGCGCCCAAGGCATTCGAGAAGAAGGATTCACGAGGCTCTGATAGTACTTATCAGAAGGCGCTCGAGTCAGTCGCTAATCAGGAAAGCTCCAGCGACGACCAGAAGCACACTCCCGCGTCTACGGCGGGAGGCAAACCGATGAACCAGACAAAGGTCACAGGGGAGGATAAACCCACAGAAAGGGGAGCGGAACCAGTTGGAGCATCACAGCTTGATGCTACCATTAGTGGAACGAATGAGCAGGATAAAAATGTGAACCTGGCTCAAGTGGATGAGAGAAACACAAAGGTCACCGAAGAGGAACTGACTGAACTGGGATTGGATGACCTTTCACTGAATGATAAGACCGCAGGCGATGACCTTTGGTCAACTCCAATGGTCTCAGATGAATCGAATGAGTCTTACTTCACGGACGACGAAGCGACGATGAATATGTCCTTCCAAACCGCGATGAAGGAGGCTGACCGTGCTGAAGGGATAACACCTTTCAAAGATATACCGGAGCACTTAATCGAACGGACACAAACAGGAAAGGTCATCAACGTACGACCACCGTCACCTAACAGTCCCACGTCAACTCTGAAGAGACGCGTGAAGGAGTTGGAAGAGGAACTCGAAGCCAAGGAAGGCCTGGTGACGAAGAGGAAACAGGAATATCAAAATCGGATAGGAACTCTGGATGCTCGTATCTATGAACTGGAGCAACAACAGGCCGACTTGGAAAGCGCAGCGGATGAATGGAAGATTAAATACGAGCGTCAAAAAGAACTCGCTGAAGAGTACCTGAAAATGGTAGATGACAGAGAAATGGAAGGTCATCTTGCGGTTAGCGAGTTGAACGAGAGTATGTCAGAAGAATCAGCTGAAAGGTCACGGCACTTAGCCGAATTAAAGGACGAGTGTGACCAGTTGCGTCAAAAGGTCACTGAAGCTGAAACTAAACGGGACGAATACGCGACCAAATTCGCAGAGGTCACACAACGGTTAACGACATTGGCAACGGAGACGTTCAAACTAAGGAATGACCTGAAGCTACGGGAGGAGGCTGTCAGTACTCTGCAACTAGAATCGAAAGGTCATCAGGAACGGGCGGACGAAGCTGAGAAGTTGCGCAATGATGCAATCAAAGCGATGCGAGAGGCAAGAGACATCACAGCTACTGAAGGAGAACGCCTGAAAGAAGAAATCAAAAAGGTCAACCAGGAGAATGAAAAGGTCACAGAAGACATTGAAAAGGTCACTAAAGAAGGACTCAAATGGCAGAAGGAAGCACGGCGACTGGACACAATGGTCACAACATTGGAGCTGAAGGACAAAGAGTGGCAACAACAGGTCGCTCAAAAGAGTCAGGAGATTGCAAAGCTGAACACTGACCTCGTCGAGATGACCACCACAGCATTGGCAAAAGATGATGAGTTGATCGCAATCAAGGATCAGCTGAGATCAGCCGCTGGGCAGTATCAGCAACTCGAAAACGAATCGAGTGAGGTGGTCGAGCACATCAAAAAGATGGAACGGGAAAATGAAAAGGTCACCCAGCAGGAGTCTTTTAAACTGCAGGAACACTTACGAAAGGTCAACCTGGAAAATTCTGATCTAAAGAGAGAAAGAGAAGAACTTCAACTGAGAACTAAACGATTGGAAGATGAGAACAAGGCGCTCCAGACGTCTAACAAGCACAAAGATGAACAACTCCTACAATATGGAGTTAAAACGGCAACAGTGGAGTCCCCTCCGCCCAGTTACAGCAAGGCGCATGAAACGGGCACGGGTAAAAGCTTCCACTTCGACATGCCGCTACGAACTGGTACTGGCAGAGGAAGTGTCAAAACGGAAAGGACGGGGAAAAGGCCAAAGATGACAAAGAGCCACCATCAGAAAGTTACCCGCATATGAGTCGAGGTGACCCTTCACAATTTCCCCCGCACATGGAAACAAATGTGTTCATTGATGAAGGACGACGGGACAGACCCCCCAGCCGGCAGGAGCGTCCAAGGAAATCCCGTTATGGAAAAGCGAAACGAAATCAAAGTGATGATGGAAGTAGCGAAGAAGACGATGACCAGAGAGCAGAAAATACAGCAATGCAACTGACAAAAGCACTCAACTCGATGGCCAGGAAAACACCACTCATGACCTTTGACGGCAGTCGTGACACAGTGAGTGGGTGGACACGATTGGTGAAAGAAACCCAAAGGACTTATCAGTTGACGGACGACCAAATCATGATTGAGATAGCCAGTGCAGTGAAAGGTCCTGCAAAAACATGGTTTGAAGGAGAAAAGGACATCGCAGCAGAAGATGGAATCGAATACTCAATAACAGAGTGGATGGACAAATTCAAAGACGAATACGGTGATCGAGATGAAGAAGTCTTAGGCTTACGTGAGGCCTATGCAAGGAAATTTGAACTCGGGAAAGAATCGCTTGACCAGTACTACCAGGCGATGATGCGCTTCAAGGCAAAAAGAATCATCACTGAGAAGCAAGCAGTCGGCTTCCTAATTGAAGGATGCAGAGGGGATAACGAACTCTACAAGGCATTGCGTATACAGAAGTGCAAGACGCCAACGGATGTGAAGGACTTCTTCCGACATTGGGCAACGGGCGAAGAAAAATACAAGGCACCAAAAGGTCAACGTAATCAGGAATACGTGACCATCCGCCAAGGCCAAGTTGAAAACGTGCCGCAACAGAGAATGGCAGCTGCGCCAGTCCAGCAGCCGGTTGAGTACCGCGTGGAGACTCCGGTCAGAGAGGTCACCGAAAAGGTGACCTTTATCGACAGTCAGACGGGACAACCGATAACATATGCGATGGTGGCGGCGATACAGGCAGCAGCTCAAGTGAAACCAGTAGCCCAGAATGTGGCTCCCCAGAATGTAGCCCCACCCGCACCACAGAATATGGTCCCTATGAATGTCGTGTTACCACAACAAGGAGGGGGTAACGGAAACTTTGGCGGAAATGGATACGGAAATGGAAATTGGAATGGAGGTCAGGGGAACTTCCAGAATCAGGGACAAGGTCAAGGTCAAGGGAACTTCAGAGGGAATCAACAGCAAAACCAAGGGTCACGAACTGAGTTTAAGTTCCAGATGATTGACGGATGGGTGGCGAACAACGTTCAGATGTGCCAGTACTGTATGTACGGCAATCATCAGACACAGGGGTGCAAATTCGCTAACACACCACCAGAACAGAACCCGAACCTGTTTGCCTTTAACGAGTGGCAACGATTGCGCGGGCTTGGTGGTTGGCGCCAAGCGGTCGCAAATGGATATGACCTGATAACGCAATGGTATCAGGCGAAAGCAAACTTTCAGAACCAGCAAGGCAACGGAAACTACGGAAATGGAAATGGCGGTGGCCAGAATGGCGGCTACGGCCGTGGTGGCTTCGGCCGCGGCGGCTTCAGAGGAAGGAACAGAGGCTATGGCCGCGGAAATTTCAGAGGAGGCCAGAACAATGGAGGCGGCCAAGGCAACTACCAACATGGTGGTGGCCAGTATAACAATGGCAACGGACAGAATCTTAACCCGGCAAACGATAACGGACAACAACAAGGAAATGTGCAAGGAAACGTGCAAGGCGTACAACAAGGTGGGGCGCCGGTTCAGGGAAACGGGCAAGATCAGTAGGCACCGGTGAGCTTACTGATCGACCCGACCCTAAACCACCGGATAAAAGGGAAAGGTCACCACTGCAGAATAGTACTGCAGTGAATGTGACCACTGCAACGGCTATATGGATGCCGTCAGCGAAAAAGCAAAGTGGACCGGCTATATGGATGCCGCAACCACAAGAAACGGCTAGATGGATGCCGCCACAGCAAAGAGAAACGGCTATATGGATGCCGTCATCGCAAAGAGGAAATGGAACGGTTATAGGTATACCGTCACAAAGTGAAAGGTCACCGCAGAATGGCACTGCGAGTGGAAACATCCAAGTGGATAAAAGGTCACCGCAGAATGGTACTGCGAGTGGAAATTGTCGTGACGGTAACGCGACACTGCAAAAAGTGCAGCAAAATCAAAGGTCACCGTACTGCAGCGAAGAAGTGTTAGCGCTACGACGCGCACAACGAAATGCAAAGATTCAACAGGCGCTCCTGAATCAGAAGAAACCGCAGAACGACACTGCGCAAGAGGAAAATGAACAGCACGCAAAATCCCGAAAAATTTTGGCAGAAAACGACAAGGCGAATGAGCCAAGGTGCGATTGTTACGGGGAACCAAAGCCAAAGTTTTGGAATTGTTCAGAAGACGAAGAAGAGAAGCGAATAAGGCAAGAATGGATTAAGCAGAATATCACCGTCATTAGTAAAGATGAAAGGTCACCTTCTGTTGGAAAAGTCCAAGTTAAAGGTCAAGGAGCGAGTGCGAATGCAAAAGGTCGCGGCGACAGCGTCGTGTTAAAAGGTCAAGAAACAGACTTGACACTGCGAACAGCGCAGCAAAAGAATGGCGAATTGGCACAACAGAACTCCGATGACTCACTTGTAGATGCAATAACGCTGCAACGGAAGGAAATCTGGCAAAAAGTGGCCTACAGACCGAATGGCAATCACGGGATGTGGATACCTGTGACACCGAAAGCAAAGCAGAAAGCAAGAATGTCACAAGAGGACTACTGGGACATGCAACAGTTGCGAACGCAATGTGAAAGAAAGCGACTGGAAGAGTTGGTTACCGGGAAACCAGCGCAAGGGTCATCGAACCCAGTCCCAGTATTCAATCCAGAGGAATATAAGAAGACATTCGCTGACTGGAATCATTCACGTAATGCTCCACCACAGGATAAACCGCCAAATTATGGAGAAAAAGTCCCCATACAAAAGCTGACAGGCGGCGGATTTGTCATGAAGCGCAACGAAAGGTCACAGGACTTAGCGCAAAATGAACAGAAAGAATGGTCAAACGAGATGGCGCAAATGCAACAGAGTGGCGCAGTTGAAAGGTCACGGGACTTATCGGAGGCACTGCAAAAGGATGCCAATGACAAGTCACCAGCCCGAACAGACGGAATGTCTTCACAAATTGATCAAACGAAAACGAATAATGAAGTGTCCGCGAAGGTGATCGAATGGATGACCGAAAAGGGATATGACATGGTTACATACGAAAGGTCACCAGATGAGACGAAAGATAGTGAAGAAGACGAATTGAAGCGAGCGGACCAAATAACAAGTGAAGTCATTGAGAAGCTGAGAGATAAACGAAATGAAAATCGCAAAGAGGAACTGATCCATCAGACGATAAATGAAGTGACTAAAGGTCACATGGATAGCACAAAAGCAAATGAGCAAGTGCAGAATGTGGAAAAGGTCATCGGTGATAAAAAGGCTACAGAGAAGCGAACAAACAAAGAAAAACCGCGAAAATATTACGATGTTCGGACTAACGTTCCACATAGGATTGATAAGCTGAGCGAGATACTGAAAGGTCATAGCACTCCAGCAAAAGGACAAGTGCCTTCCGATATGGATCCGGGACCAGTATCGCTTATCCCTGTGAAATGTAAGATTCTCACCTTGAAGATTCAAAATGGAAAGTTACCCAAAAGAATTGAAGCGTACACACACGAAGTGAAAGTGGGAGACATAAAGGTCAACGCAATGTTGGACACCGGCGCTGAGACGTCGCTAATCAGCAAACCGTTTTGCGAGAAGAATGGACTTCATATGCTCCCATTGCCACCCGACAGATTAGTGAAGATTAACGGAATTAGCGGAACGTCAGGATTCCTGGTGACGCACTACTGCATAGCACCAGTGACCTTAAGGAAAAAGACTAGCGAACATTCATTCTACGTCCGACCGAAGTGCGACGACGTACAAGTGTTACTGGGATTTGACTTCTTGGAAAAGAAATTCGTACTGATGGACAATGAAGGTGAAGAAGAAAAAGAAGATGACCCAAAACCAGTTGCCAAAGTACAAGTCGGAAAGGTCACCGAACTCGCAAAACAGGAAAATGCTCAAACTGCTAATAAAACGCTAATCCCAGTACCAGAGGCACCGGGAAACGAAAAGAAAAAGGTGACGCGAAAAGAATTGTCACCATTTGAGCAGTTGCGAACGATTCAGCAGGAGATCGAAAACACGTTAAACCGGACAATGCTGACACAAAAGGGAAGAGAAAAGGTCATCCCAGTACCAGAGGCACCGGGAATGACGAGAGTGCAACAGAATGAGATTAGTCAACGGATAATCCCGGTACCAGAGGCACCGGAGAAGAAAAGTGAAAGTGGAAAGGTCAGAGAAGTTAACGAAAAGAAAAAGGAACCGCTTGCGCCAGATACCGATGAGGCGATCATATTTCTCCCGGACGGGAGAAGTATGATCGCAGATGACCGTAAGCAAGGAGACACAGAAAAAGAAGGTGTTGAAAAAGCTATCCCAGTACCAGAGGCACTGGAAATAAAGACGGCTAAAGTGGGGAAGGATAAAAAGAGTGAAAGGTTACGGGTTTTGAAGCGAATAACTGAAGAGGAACAAATGTTTACAAGTGAAATCCGCGACAGGGCACTCGAACAGTTGAAAGGTCACCGAAAAAACAAAGAACCAGAGGTCATCGTAATACCCTCTGAGGATAAAAGCGTGACTCCAATCGAATGTGAGGAAGATACCACAGTACACGAAAAGGTTAAATCTCAAGCGTGTCAAAGGACATTAACTCCAGAAGAACGAGCCGGGAGTTGTCACCACGGTTACTTTGAGGATCCGTGCAGAGTGCAACCACAATGGGAATGCACGGAATGTTGTGAAAATGCCTCCCAAGATGACCTTTCAGAATGGCCAAGATGTAATGCCGCATTAGCAGACCTTAAAGGTCATGCCCAAAAGGAAGTGAAAAGCATCATGCGGACAAACGAAATGTGGAAACCAAACATCGAACGATATCATTGGAATAGATATCGAACGTGGTTGTCATGCGTGGAAAGTTTTATAATTGGAAGAGGCAGATGGCTAAACCATTGGGTGCAACGTGTGGAGAAAGGAATCCAAGATCCTCTCGATCCGGTAGCAACAGAAAGGAGATTTGAACGAGAGATAGAAGAGATGACCGAAGAAGGAGAAATGTGGGAAGAAG